CACCCGCCTCGGCCTCCCAAAGTGCTGGGATTACAGGCATGAGCCACCGCGCCCGGCCAAATATGTTTCTTATTACACACTGCAAGATTACATCAACCAAGGGCTCACCAAGATAAAATCTTAGGCACTTTCAACTCCTAGTTTTACTGGGAGACTTTAGTATACTTAGTGGTTGGTATTATTATAATTTTTTAAAATAATTCCTTGCATTTTAAAAGTTCTTATTTAACACTTATATTACACATTCCCCATCTATCTTAATCCATTCCATTTTCTTAATCCAATCAGTTTTAGTGTAGATTTTTGCAAAGTTCATTATTTACAACTATTTCCTTTCCATCTGCCTCTGTTCTAGGACATTTATTATTTGCTTCAAACCTTTCCTCAATTTTGGACAGATGCATATCCAGATGATGCATCTCTGAATCCTTATACATCCTCAAACATGCTTTTTGCCCTAACGAGTGAATTATATCTTAATGGGGTATATTGAGTTACAGTCCTTTTCTTCTAGTCAATAGAGGCTAGTCTACTCTCTTCTAGTTTCCAGATTGCAGATAGAAACTTGCTGGGCACAGTGGCTCATACTTGTAATCCTAGCACTTTGGGAGGCTGAGGCAGGAGGATTGCTTGAGCATAAGAGTTTGAGACCAGCCTGAGCAACATAGTGAGACCCCTACACTACAAAAAAGAGAGAGAGAGAAAGGTGGCGGGAAGGAAGAAAGGAAGGGAGGGAGGGAGGAAGCCATTTTTATTTTTTAACCAATTGTGGGTAACTTATTCTTTCCACACTTGTTAGAACCTGAAATTTTATAAAATATAGGCATGCATTTTTGTTCTCATGAATCCATCCTTTAGTGAATGTTTTCAATCTGAATAATGTGGTAGAATTTAGGAAAACTGTATTCTTTTATTTGTTTAACTATTGAATCTTCTTCATCCATTCCTCTTCCTCCTTCTAAAATTCCTGTTATTCTTATAGCAGGGTCTCCTGAATTTTTCCTTAAGTCCCATCATTTTATTATTTCCATCTCTATAGGCTTTTGCTCTGTTGTGTTAAATAAATAATTATTCAATGATCCTTGTTAAAGCACATTAAGGAAGACTTTATTTAGCACCATCACTGCAACAACCCATTGCAGTGGAGGAGACAGGTCGGGATCAACTCTGAATGCATCATGGACAAGTGGGAATGTATAGCCAAGGGGCAGTGTTGGGGGTCAGTGGATGGAAAAGAAGAGCAATCAGGGGTAAGGGGGATTCTATCTAAACTGACTTAACAGGATTCTTACTGAAGACAGGCTAGGGTGGTCGGATATCACTTGGGGGATGGTGGAGCATGAGGAACTTGATCAGATATTGAGGGTGATCAGATGTCAAGGATGGAGGTTCTTACTAAAACAGGAATTTACAAGGAGTGCTATGGATATGTAGTGGGGAGGAGGCCAGGGATGCTGCTAAACATCCTACACAATGCACAGGACAATCTCGTACAACAACGAACTAGCTAGTCCAAAATGTCAACAGTACTGAGGTTGAGAAATCGTCATGTAGCTTACGGATACAGCTTTTACCCGGTCAAAATCGCCAGTATCCTTCTCCTGGGGCTGAACCTCTCCCCCGGGACTGTCAGGAGGAAGGGGCGTGATAAGGATCCCAGGACTGCGTTTTGCCTTCCTTCCCCACCCCCACTCTCAACGGCTCCTTTCTCTTCTCTTAGCAGCACCCAGCTTGCCCACCCATACTCAAGATGGGCAGGATGCCAGCCTGCTACATAAATGTGCCAAAAGCCTGGCCTTGCCTGGAAAATGGACCGATTCGATTCGCCTGCCGAGAGGTTGGGTCTCGTTCCCTAGAGAGAAGGAAGTCTCCTCTCCTTGCAGTGAGAGCTAGAATCGCACTTTCTGCCAAGCTGAGAGAAAGACTCTTTTCCAGAGACTAAAAGGACAAGAAAATCTGATTTGCTTGCTTCTAACTTTGCGTTTTAAAGGGGGGAGGAGGAAAGAGAGGGAGGGTGGTTCTGCTTAGCCCCACCCCTCCGGCTGCCCCAAGTCCCGCCGTCCATTCCGGTGGAGGCAGAGGCAGTCCCGGGACTCTGGGGCTCGTGCTGTGCCACCGGGACCCGCAGGAGCCAGAACCGCTCGGCGCCGCCTGGTGCACGGGAGGGGAGCCGGGCCAGGAGTAAGTACCTCATACGGTCACCGGGGACCCGGGTAGGGCTGGGGGATTCCAACTCAGAGGGAGTGTGATTTGCCTGATCCTCTTCGGGGTTGTCCTGCTCTGCCGCATCCAGCCCTGTACCGCCATCCCACTTCCCGCTGTTCCCATCTGTGTTCCGAGTGGGATCGGTCTGGAGGCGGTCGACGACTTCCCAGGCAGGAGGTCGGGGCAGAGGCCGGGTCCGCGGGAGACCAGGGCAGTGAGGCGCTGGCCGGCACGGGACGCCGCGGTGCCAGCCTGAGGCTGGGCTGCTCCGTGAGGATACAGCAGCCCCTGCCCTGCTCTGTCTGCCCTGTCCTGTTCTGCCCTGTGTCCTCAGAGAACATGTTAGCCGTGCACTTTGACAAGCCGGGAGGACCGGAAAACCTCTACGTGAAGGAGGTGGCCAAGCCAAGCCCTGGGGAGGGTGAAGTCCTCCTGAAGGTGGCGGCCAGCGCCCTGAACCGGGCGGACTTAATCCAGGTACCCAGAGCTCAACTGTGCCGGGTTGGGCGGGACTACCTCTCAACAGCATTCAGTGGACATTGATGAGACGTGAAGGCGTGCACCGCCCCACACCCAACAGGCACATGCGCTGGGGCTTCCCAGACCTAAACCCAGGGCTCCCCTTTTGTTCATACAAAACAAGGGGGAGTATTTGCAAAGCAGAATCCACCCCGAGCTAATCCGTAGCCACTCAGGCCTCCAGATAAGGAGGGCGGAACTAACATTGTTGTGGAGTGTGGGCACACTTACTCCCCAGGCTACCCTGTTCATCCTCTTCATTCTACAGATAAGGAAACTGAAGGTCAGCCAGGTTAAGCAGTATGCCTAAGGCCATGACATTAGCAAGCAGAAGAGCTGGGATTCAGGCTGAGGTCTTTGTGGCTCTAAGGACCTCTTAACTCTTTCCACTCTGAGAGTCCCAGAGCTGACAGCTGGCAGTACTCTATAAGAATTTTCTTCTGTCTGCTACTGATTTACTGACCTGGGCCCGCTGCATTGGTTGTGGTCATTCAGAAATGTGCATCAGAATCTCCTGGGGCACAAAAGAAACGTGATGGGGGCCCAGGCACATGTACTTTGAAATACTCCTCAGGTGGTT